AAAAATTCTGTTCTCATAAGCTCTGACCTTTACTCAAAGTTGTCTTCAAGTCATTGACTACCTGAAACAATTAAGCTTTTTCATCAAACTGCAAGAGCACAGCCCAAATGTTCTACTTTTAAAACTAGGCAAAAGGTGTGTCAAAGTAGTTTTTTCTTACATATGCCACTATCATGGTAAACGTGAAGCAATTCCTTATTAATGAAGTTCCAAAATATACATGAACCTCTCTGATACAGCCAGTCTCAATAACAAAAGGACCAAGGAATATGAATGAAAAAAAAATCACTTTAGAATAAAAATGCAGAAGACAGACATAGCAAGTATCAGTTACTTTGGGTAATAACACACCTCATACTTCTGTAAACCTCAGAGAGCAGGAATATCGCAAACACCTAACAGACAGTTAGTGAGCATGTCAACTTAAATACTTAGAAAAGACTTCATGATAATGGTAGCAAATGTGAGACACAAACTTACATATACAAATAATCTTAAATGTACATAAGTATTCACAGAAAGGACTGTCAAGAAATACAAAATGCAACAGTTCTGGCCTTTGGATGTTGTGACTATAAACGAGTTTTTCTTCTCCCTTCTCTTCTTTCCCTCATATTTTCCAGATTTCCTTTAGGGTACTTGTACTGTTTTTATCATAGAAAAATAAACTTTGTTTGAATATAGGTATCTATGGCTATAAAAAGGAATCACCAGTAAGACTTCTGAAGGGATCACATGCCCTCAACAGGAAAATAAAAAAAAGGAAACTGAGATCTATGTTAAACTGTGGAATATTAAAAGGAAAAAAACATTAATCAAGCATTCTCTAATTAGAATAAGTAATCAGAGACTTTTTGAACATGGCCAAAAAAGAGTAATGAAAAGAAAAAATCAAATTTGACAGATGAGCTCCAAAGGACAAAAGGCAGTGGAGTCTCATCTCACCAGTTTCTGTGAATCAAAGAGAGGTGGGGGGAAACCCCTGGATTTACTCTCTCCCATCTTCTAACTCCTCTCCCCTCCCCACCCCCCGACTTCTAGCTAGACGTGCTCCTTCAGGGCCCTAGCAAAGCACAAAGAGAAACAAAAGATGCAAACTCTTAGCTTTTGCACTTCCAAGAGTCCTGGTGACTTGAGTGATTTTAGAGATTGTCTGCTTTGAGAAGAGGCTTTAAAACCTGCTCCCTAGGTTGGACGATACCCTATAACAGCCAGTGTGAAAGCTCTTTCTCCCTGCCTTCCACTGTCAGGTGGACAGTAAGTAAATCTGAGGTGGGAACTCTCAATGAAACATACAAAGTAGATAAAAGGATGGAGAGTCCTCAGGCAGTGTAAACCTTCAACGCTGGGCAAAAATACGTGGTTGGCAGGAGCACCCGCGGGGCAGCCTGGAAAGCCTGGGGCTGGTGCGGCAGCATGCCCGCCGCCCGCTCAGCAGTGGCCCTGCACCCGCGAGGTGAGCTGCGGTCCCACACCTACCCTGATTGTCCAGCATGCACATGGGGCCGTCACGCTGGTAGTTGGCCACTCGCGCACGGTAGGGACAGTTCACAGGTATCTGAAGATAGTTGGCTCCCAGGCGGTGGCGGTGAGTGTCAGGATAGGCAAACAGGCGGCCCTGCAGTGATAAGTGAAACAGATGCTGTCTGTGTGCAGGAACATATAAAAAAGGAAGGGTCCAGAAACTGCATTGTCAAGGTTCCAGCACAAAGCACCACAAAACCCTGCCCATCCCCCCCAGTAAAGGGCACAATCTCTTTTCTCTCATGCAGTGAGTTCTCCCTGACTGAACAGTCCTTAATCTTCCATGCCATGTGGCCAAACATCCACACATTTTCACATATGTTCTAGATAGTAACTCCTTTTTCCCTCAGATAACAAGTTAGTGCCCCCTCTTGCAGTATTTCCTATTCGCAGGGACACACTACACTGTAAGATACATTTGCAAGAACTCAACTAACTGGAACCAAGAACTAATTCCACTCCTCCCCACCTTCTCACTCCAGGGATCAAACTTTTGCTCTTAACAAAGGAGCAAATTGCAACAAAACCAACTATACAGGAAACATTTTTAAAAAGCAGCTCCCGTGTTGCATGCTGGCTTGTGTCAGATACACTGTGAGCTCTGAGACTTTCCAGATATAAACAAAGGACTACATACGAAGAAAGCCACGGTGCAAGATGATGGCCCTACAACGCCACTAGGTCCTGAACCAAAGATTAAATTCAATCACGTATTTACCAAGGTAGGATGTTTTGTAATTTCTTTCAGTTAGTGTTGAAACCAAAAGCTTGATGATTAACTCTGCATCAATCTTAGTATTCAATTATTTAAATATTCTCATTATTTGAAATTCTACAAGCAGTTTGCTTTCATTGACTTTATTATTGACCTCGAATCTGAAAGAGTATTCTTATATCCCTAATTCTATGAGCCAAAATGAAAGTCAAGTTGAACAGGGCAGTTATTCTGTACCAAATCAATCATGTCAACACGCTTAATCCAGTCTCACTGTTCTGTCAGTATGTGCTCTTGGCTGAGTGACTGACTGTACCTCCCACAGCATTTCAAATAGTCTAAGCTAATACTCAGATGACTGGTCACGCAGCCATGACCAAAACCCCCTATGGTTTGGAAGCTGGTTGCTTCCTTTTGCTCAATACAGACTAAGCTGTGTTCTAACTTTACCAACGAGACAGAACATACCCTTGAGCCCTAAGCAACTCTTGGATATGGCCTCATCATGTATTTCTGGTTTTGAGTCCCCTTATGGCTTATAAGGCATCTCCACTCCACCTGCAGGTCAAGACTGGGAAATGGGCCCAGCGAGGCCATACCCTGACTCCAGCCTGAATGGAGGCCTTACCCAAGGCCTGAACTCCTTGCTGGGCCAGGGTGAGAAAGCAGAACAAAGCTCTCCCACCTATGCAGTCAGGCCAATTTCTTCACTCCTGGTAAACTGCAGAGTATGGGAGTGAAGACAGGCTGCGCCTACATCACCAGTACTCAGGGGACAGTCTCGGTGACTTTTCACCAAGGTTGGGCTTACTGCTTTGATTACAAAGTGTTAACATTTAATGATGACCTTGTTGAAAGGCAACTGGAACATGGTCTGTTACTGTAAAACGGCTACCACCCAGACACTCATTAGTTCTCATCAGAGTGATTTCCAAGTCCCCCCAGCTGGCCCTCCACTTCCAGCCCCTCCTCCAACAACATCCTATAAGTTCCCGCTGAAAGACGCTTCCTAAGGTCCCATGCAGGTTATGTTACTGACCTACTCAAAAAGCCTTGAACAGTTCCTCACTGGTCATCAAAGGGCTAAACCTGTACAACAGTCCTTCCCTGATGCATGGCCCCTAACACGCTCCGGGGCCTCAGAACTCTCAGCGAAATGACCTAAGGAGTTGTGTGGACAACTAGGCTAGGGACTGATAATTTCCCTGAACCAACTAGAGCTCCTTCAAGCAACCTCAACAGAATGCCTCGTACATTCATTTTCTCTTATGGTCGAGAATGGGTCTTTGCTTTGGGGTCCTTCTCCCCGGGGCCAGGCCTCCACCCAACACTTCAGTGCTTGACCAATTCTATTAGACATGGTGTTGCTCAACGCCTCCAGGTCACACTGTGGTCCCAGAGACCCACACTGACCTGGATTCTTGTGAGAAGACTTTGGGTGACCTTTCGTCCCTCAACCTATATCTTTAATACCAGGGTTTTGCAGCCTTGGCTCTGCCCATGACAATTTTATGCTTTTTGCAGTTCAGCTCCCTCCTAACCCCAGGCTCAAGGTCACAAGGTCTTGGCTTCCTCTGCTCCCTGGTTTCAATGCAAGAGCTTCTGCTTATCCTCTGTAATTCGCTTGACCTTCCTTTTCTATTCCTAACCCCCAGTTTCTTCTTTTCTATTTATCACCAACAGGAGTGATTCTACTTGATATATATGAAGAAAACTTTTCCTAGAAAAGACAATTGTACAAACTTCTCCTCAAGCATTAAGGCCCCCTCGGACATACACTCAATGTACCGCATCTTGGTTCCTCTAATTCAGGAAAGAGTGACTGTTTACAGTTTAAATATACCCAACACGGTCCACCTTTGTGTCTACACCCATGTCCCTCTCCTGCTCCATTTCACCACTGTTGACAATAGAAATCCTATCCATTCTTCAAAAAGCCATCTCAAATGCTACCTTTCTCAAAATTTTGTCATCATCCTCCTATCAGACAAGACTTCTCCTTCTGAGTCACCACAGCATTCTGCCTTACATGAGAGTCATCTTGTGTTTTTATATCTGTTATTAGCAGCCAGAAGAATCTATCAGTAGACAGGTATTCAATTTATAGTAGTTATATTGAACTAAAAACTAATTAAAACTTATTTTCTATAAGCAGTTCAGATGTTTCCAATGACTAAGCAAAAAAGTTATTTAAAAAACAAGGGATCTTAGGTTGGCTCCATGGAGAGTGACACGTGAACTGGAATCTGATGCTTACATAAGAAACAGCCGTCAGTCACTGTGGTCTGATCCAGGGTATAAACTTTAACCTTTGTTCCATGGTCATAGTCCAAGAACACAAAAGATGGATTTATTCAATAATTATTAAGCCAGTTGTCTTCCTATTAATTTCTGACCCAAATAAGAATTTTTCACTCTTTGTACTCTTTTTTTTTTTTTGGTGCCGTGACTCGGATACTCTTTGTACTCTTGAAAGAGCACATTGGAGAGTGATGGAAGAATACCGAATGCCTAGGAACATTACCAAGACAAACAGTTAAATTAAGCCACTGCCTTTAATCAATGGAAACATAAACTGAGTTTGTAAAAATCATCTCTGGGTCTCTTTTTACACATGGAAAAATTCAAGCATCACCGTGGAAGAGGCAATGAAAAAACCTATGCTGACCAAGTGCTATAATCAATTAATGATAGTCCCTCTTGTTGACTGCAGACTGAAAAAGCATACTTGACCCGAAAAATACCTACAGCATTTCTAACATAACCTCTTCTAAATTAATAGACTAAAGATCAAAGTCTTAACATATTGAGGTATGAACTATGAAATTTGTTTTATACTTTAAGGCTCATTTAAGAATGTTTCAGTTAGTCCCACAGAAACTAAGGACCTAGATGAAAGTTTAATGTTCTCATTAATTCTTTATATAAAAGATCTGCCAAATTATACGCAGGGTGTGTGTGTGTGTGTGTGTGTGTTTGTGCGCGTGTGCCTCAGAACATCTTAATCCACCAGGTTTACCTGAAGCATTTTGTCAGGGCTAGGTTCAATGCCGGGTGGCATGTTGCTTGGGTCAAAGGCCAACTGTTCAACTTCAGCAAAGTAATTAACTGGATTCCGGTTTAAGACCAGTTTACCAACTGGGATAAGAGGATAGTCCCCGTGAGGCCAAATCTAAAAATAATATATTCACAATTATCAGACTGTCAACAGAAGGAAATTAAAGTACCCATAAAAATATCAGCTTTCAAATACAATGAAGCCAACGATAATAAGTGAAAATAATATTTTTTAATCCAATAAAATAAAAAAGTAAGGTGAGCACATTGGTTGAATCTTTCACAATAGTAAGCAGTAAATATTGATACTCTCCCTGGACAAAAGCACATCTCCTTATCAAAATTTGCTTCCTGCTAATAACAATATACCAGGGCAACCAGATGAATTCAACGAACTCATCAAACAGGAACTGGAAGGAAGACCTCACTAACAGGCTAGAAAACTCTGAAGTGGTACCACTGTGTCTTGTACATGACTTTCTTATCCTTGTGAATGCTTGACTGCAAATTTCTTTTAAATTAGGTATGAAGACACTTTAAAAAGAAAACAATTTAGTTGTTAACTGACTCACCTTGGTAAGATCAAATGGATTAAATGGAAAATTTTCTGCCTCATTAAATGTCATGACCTGGATGTAAAAGGTCCAGGAGGGATAGTTGCCTGTGGCAATGGCATTAAAAAGATCCCGGATGCCGTAGTCGGGATCTTCCTGGGCAAGTCTTGCTGCTTCTTCAACAGGAAGGTTTTTGATGCCCTGGTCAGTCTACAGAATGAAAGAAAGAAGCTCAAACTGAAACTTATGATCAAAGTTATTAACCTTGAATCAGTAATTCATTGAAGCATTATGATAACACTACCCAAAGACTGGATTTTCCTCGTAACAAGAATTCCACGGTTCAAATCTGATGCAAGTAAGAATCTGTCAACAAGAAATTCTGCTTGATTATTCTGATTCTTTTCATTGTCCAGGGAATCTACCCACACATTTTATATTTAAAATTAGCCCTATCCTTCCCTTTCAGTATTCTATATTATTTGAATTTTTAATTGTTGACATACAGTTTTTTTCTCAATTTTTCACTCATATAAAGAATGCTGCACTACTGTCTTCAGACAAGCCGAAACATTTTGCTATAAAATATACATATATCATATAAAATTTACCATTTTAACCATTTTAAAGTCTCCAATACAATGAATTTCTTTGAGTGTCTGTCTCAAAATGGAGTTGCTGGGTCATATGCTAATTCTATGTTTAATTTCTTGAGGAATTTCAAAACTGTTTTCCAGAGTGACTATTATTTGAATTTTTATACTCATGCTACACTTTTCAAATCAGAAAAAAACCAAAATATATTTTTAAAATAAGCAAAAAGCTAATAAAATTGAAGGATTTCCCCTGTTTTTTGCATGAAGTAATTTTTTTTATTCCCTGTTTTATAATAGCTCAAATCAATTACTGAGGTTGTGCTCAACTAGCATCCCTCCACCTCAACTTTCTTCCTTTTTCTTTTTTAAAGAAATCATAGAATCACAGTTCATAGAGCTGGAAAGAACTTCAGTGCAGCTGCTCTGAACCAGTCCTCCAACTCTGAGCAGCCAATATTAGTTTTCTGAGTTTCTAAACAAGCCTTTAAGACCCAGAGAAGTTGTCACTTTCACAAGTGCTCCTGTTGTCATCCCATCCTGCAGGTCAATAGATCTCCCACCTGCACCTTATTCTAAAAGACCCTTCAACAGGCCAGGCACATGGAAAGATTTCCTTGGAAAAAGTCAGCCCTGGAAGGCTGGCCTACGTCTACCACAGAGCAGCTCTCTCTACCCACTGCAGGAGTTAAACCCTTTTTATTATTAGATCTTCAGGATTAAAAAACGGAAGTCACCAACTGCAGATCACCCAGTTAATACCTTAAATTGTGCAATAATATTGCAATACCTTTCTGATTTTAATTGAATCCCTTAGGCTTAGAAAAGAATAATCTTAGGCCAGAATAATCCAAATTGATGAATCGATGCAGATTTCATGCTACCTCAGGGCCCTCTGCTGAACAGACGCATAAGCAGTCCGATCTTTCCAGGATCATAGACTGCTGAGACAATTATCCCACGTCTACAGAGACAGAACTGGAGCTCAGAGAACTTTTAATAATATACCAAGTCACAGTTATCCAGAAGAGGGAAGATCTGAGTTCAGATTGTTCTGTCTGCAAAGCCACCAACCATGCCAGCTGTCCCAGATACAATCATTTAGTGCTGCTCTAAGTGACACTACACTGCTTCCTTTTGGCAATTACAAGCCAATGGGTCAACTGTTTCCTACAACTATTCCTTGACAAAGAACACAAGTATAAAGTCATAAATATAAAGAGGGTGACAGTTTTCCTGTTTGAAATACCCATGTAAATTGTTCAGATAAAGATTAAGACAGGACAGAAGAAAACAGGTTTGGGGATTTCATTAAGAGGAAAACTATACTTGTCATCAGTCCATTTCTGTCTCTGCTTATTTTAGCAGCAGTATTTGGAAACAAGTTCTTAGGCAACCAGAGGGCTTTCAACAAACTTCTAGAGTTCTCTGGCAATATTACTTATTCTAACTAATGCCAAGATCATACTAAGAGAGAACTCTTTAAAACACCTCAGTTGGGAGGAGGGTATAGCTCAGTGGTAGAGCGTGAGCTTAACATGCACAAGGTCCTGGGTTCAATCCCCAGTACCTCCATGAAAAAAAAAAAAGAACTAAAATAAATAAATAAACCTAATTACCTCTCCCACAAATAAATGAAATTTCTAAAGAGCCTTGGGGGGAAAACACCTCAGTTAATTAAAAGGTTCACAAAAGCTTCCCCAAAGGTAAGTGATCTACTCTGATGTGATTGTATGAAAGCAAATGGAAAAACCAGAATTTTTGTTTTCTGACATTTGTAACTGATTTTGCATTTGCCTTGTTCATAATATAACCTCAATAAATGCTAAATAAATGGAGGGATGAATTAAAAAGTTAGGAGAAATGTTTTTGGAAAGATAGCATCAGATGCTGAAAATGAGAGTGAGGTTGGTATTACAGACAGGAATGCCTGATTCTGCCTTGGTCCCCTCCTGGATCCCAAAAGTATCTGTACTCAGAGCAGTGACTCCAGGCTTGGGAAGGCACAGCAAGATCATACTTACTGTTTGCTAACACTTGACTCTAAACTCCAACAAAGAACCCTAGGAATCTCCTTTGCCTATCTTGGAGGCCTGTATTATCTCATGTTTGAGCCCAAACCAAATCTTAGATCTTCATTCTCCAGGGAGAAAAAAATAAACATCAAAGTGCCCCTGCTAGCACCAGAAACATTAAACCAGAGAGCCAGCACAAAATGAACATTTGTCCAAATATGTATGGCAGAGCTCCCAGGGTCCAAAAGAAGAAAGCTTGACTAGTGATAGTAGATTTGTGCTCTTATCCTCCTGCCACATGAAGAAAAAAGGACCACACATACTTCTTCTAACTGGGCAGCGTGAGTCTATTCCCTTGGGCAGTGGCCAAGAAAATAGTCAAGGTCCCCCGATCAACTAGA